CCCTTTGGGAAAGTTCCTCCTTTTGGGGACTACAACTCCCAGAAGTCTCCCAGGCTGGTGACCCTAGAGATTCCGGGAGCTGTATAGCCCAAACAAAATAAAACAAAAGGAATTTGTCGTGCCTGGCTCTCAAGTCACAGAAATGACCCTCTAGTTGGGTTTTGGGAGAACATAGGATCCTGATTTTAAAAAAGGTATTCTAGGCAAAGAAGATGTGTTCTTGGCTGGGCAAAAATAATGATCACAATTTATTTCATTTATTACTGCAAATAGCCAGCATAAATAAGAACAATGATTATTATTTCGGAATAAATTCAGGTCACTCTTCGGAATGACTCAAAGAACAGTCGCCGCTACCCTTTTTGCGTCGCGATCCTCCACACAGTCTGGTCCAAAACACACTGCAGAAATAATCCAGTTTGAGACCGCTTTAACTGCCCTGGCTCAGTGCTAGGGAATCCTGGGGTTTGTAGTTTCTTGTGGCACCAGAGCTCTCTCTCTCTCTCTCTCTGTCTCTCTCTGTCTCTGACAGAGAAGGCTAAAAATGTGTCGCAAAAGTACAATTCCCAGGATTCCCAAGCATTGAGCCAGGGCAGTTAAAGAGGTGTCAAACTGGATTAGTTGTGCAGTGTGTTCTGGAAGTCAGACTTGCTTCGGATGGCAGCCTCACTCAGGGAGAGGTGCCACTGGGAACCAAGGAAGAGGGTCTGGGTGCAGTGGTTTATAAGGCCCCTAAAATATTTGACTTTCCCAAGCCTCTATCAAAGATTTATCAGGAAAGATCTCCTGGCCTGAAGGTTAAAACACCTGGTTAAGTTTTGTAAGGAATCAGGCTGCAGAAATTGAAACAAATCGGTTAGGCCTTAAAGCTCCACATGGTTCCTTTAAAGGCCAGTTCTAGATATGGTCGACTCAGAAGACACCTCCATTCAAAAGGAAACCCAGGAGTTATTATTATTATTATTATTATTATTATTATTATTATTATTATTATCTGGACAGCTTGGAGAGGGAATATGTCATACCCATCTATTCCGTTCCAAGGGATTTATTTCCAGGTCTCTTGCATCCCGACTTATTTTTGCTTCGACAGACTCGGCTTCTGGGTGTTGAACCCGACCATGCAATTAATAATTTTAGATTCTGCACTTAGGGCCTTTGCAGACTGCCAGAAATAGTGCAAACTGAGTCCACTTTAACTGCCCTGACTCAGTGCTAGGGAATCATGGGAACTGTAGTTTATTATGGCACCAGAGCTCTCTGACAGAGAAGGCTCAAAGTCTCAGAAAAAAAAAATACAATTCCCATGATTCCCTAGCACTGAGCCAGAGCAGTTAAAGTGGACTCAATTTGCACTATTTCTGGCAGTCTGCAACCCCCCTAAGTCTGTGCTATTGTTTTATCTATTTTGGATTTCAAGCTCTTTTTCCTGTTCCATGTAGCTCCAGGACTAGCCACTGATAAGAGCTTACTTTTCTGTTGTAGAATTCAAAGATATAGCCGTGTTAGTCTCTAGAAACAGTATGGAGAGAGAACTCACTGAAAGAAAGAAATTGGCAGCAGGAGCTTTCGTAGACTTCAGTCTACTTCCTCAGATGCATTTGAGTTAGAGGCCTTTGGATTTGTTGTAGTTAGAAAACCATCAAGAAAGGGAATTAAATAGGACTGCAGTCTAATATTTACCTGGAAATAAGTTTCCTTGATCTCAAAGCCATTGAGCAAGGCAGGCATGAAATGGGTCCTGAACTGGCAAAAAAGAGAAAAGAGGATCATGGCTTTCTTCCAGAATGGGGACTTTTGGAAAAGCAGAGGCATCTGTTCCTCCCTTGTTCAGATTGTGGTAAGAGTGTGTTTTTTGTTACGTGACTTCAAGTCGATTCCGACTTATGGCGATCCTATCTTTTAGATCCAAAACACACTGCAGAAATAATCCCGTTTGAGACCGCGTTAACTGCCCTGGCTCAGTGCTAGGGAATCGGAGAACTGTAGTTTTGTCAAACATTTAGCCTTC